ATATTTAAGCTTAAAGAACTCAAACCTGGCTTCAAAAATATCAATAACCATTGTATTTCGGCAAACATAAAAATCTTTATGGAATTCATCAAATTTAATGGCGCCCATTTTATTCCTCAAATTCTTCTTTAAATTAAGATCAATATGAAACAAATATAGATAATGTGAAGAACTAGAAAACTCTGCCAAGATCACATTTAATATTGCCAGGTCTGAATCTGTATAAACTACTCGTGAAACTAAATTACCAATACATTTATTGATCATACGAAGGGCCCAGGTAAAACTATCTTCAGTTTCGTCCTCCAACAAAGCAGCAGCAACTAATCAAATACGATTACAATTATCAATTGCAACGAAAAAACAAGCAACCATGTTATACTTATTTGTGCATGATGTAGTATCAAAAAAAATTATATTATAGAACCTCATCTAAAGATATTGCTGTTCAGGAGAAAGCCAAAATAAGACTACACAATCTCCATTCAGGTCCATCAAATCTAGCCTCTATAAACCACCTAGGATTAGGATCATCAGCTTTAAGACTATATATATGCAATAAAAGATTTAACACATCCAATTCACTTCTATATGAGAGTTTTTTTTGCATTTTGAATTGCATTATACAAATTTTTTGATGTATTTTTCGTCCTAAAAATTTTCCTCTTAATAGTTGCCCTATGTTTCATGTGCTAGTCGTACTATTAATTACACAGAAATCAACAAATTTTAACATATCCTCCCCTAATTTCTGGTAGCTTGTGATTGTGGTTGATGGAGCAGATTATATTGGATGATTATAGAAATCAACAACAGTTGTAAATATCATTTCTGAAGATGATTTAGGCATGTTACCATTAACTTGCCATTTATATTGGGTGTGTTTTGACTTACGATTCTGTTAGTTTTTTAGATTTGGAGCCTTTTTGAGCTGGTAACTACCAGCACAGCTACATTCTCAACTAATTTTGTGTAAGATTTGCATACTATTCTCGACACTTGATTCAGCCTCAATACTTGATTCAGCCTTAACACTTGATTCAGTATGTTTTCTCTAGAAACTAAAACCTTGCTCCATTCTATATTGTTTTAAAAAACTTTCAGCTTTCTTCCATGATTTAAAGTTTGTCCTTTATAAATTTTTAGTGCTAGTTTATCATTTTTTTCTTCAGAAGAGTCGACATCAAATATTTCAAATACAGGAAAGTTGATATCAAATATTTCAACTACCTCAGGCTTATAAAGCAAGTTTGTAGAAGGTGGTTTTACTTCAGCTAGTTCTACTTTAGCTAGTTCGTTCTTAAAATAATTGTCTTTTACAGAATTAATATCATCATGTGATAAATCCATTATATATTACAATAAGCAGGCACGTTCAAGTGGTTAAGTAGACTTGTCTTTTATTATACTTTTTTTTTGTTATTATGCTTTGATTTATATCGCCATATACAAGCATGTTCAAATAGTTAAGTACAAAAATACTTGTCTTTGATTATACTGCATTTCTTTCATTATTGCTCTTTGACTTAAAACCTTTCCTTTTTTGAACACACTGCATTTACTGTTTTACAAAACTTATTTGGTACTAGAGAGAAGAAAAAATCTGATTTGTAACAATTGAATCTGCCTTTTTATTTGTTTGTTACATGATATATTACATTATAAATTCTGTCACTACATTGTTTACTATATATAACTATAATTGGCACAATTTTATCAAGCAAAGTTTGAAATGTATGTATGATGTATGCACTAATAAAATTGTGTGATGATCAATCACATGTTTATATTTTTATTGCATACTTACCATGTGATTGACCAGGGAATTTTCCTCCTGATTAATTGTAGTTATTCTTTAAATTTAATTGGTTATCAAAAATAAAATTTTTATATCTTTTTGTATAACTCATAGTGAAAATAACAAAAAACCATGGTGAAAATAACAATCTTCTATAAATATATTAGTTGTAGTGAAAAGCCTTTTCTATTTGTTATGTTTAATTGTACTAATATGATATATAGAAAGGTGAAACAGGTTGTAGTAGTGTATATGTCTGTAAGGAGTCTATTCTGTTGTATATATTTATAGTATTCTAACTATATTTGTTTGTATACGTTAGTGAATATCTTGTGCAAGATTTTGATAAATATATTATTATAAATTGAAGTAGTAGTCTGAATAACCTACAGAATTAATCTTTTAAATAGTAGAGTATTATATATACCTGTACTATTTATGAAAAAACTTTGTACTAGTATTGCTGGGTTTAGTAGCTAGTCGTCTAGTTTTGATCAATACTTAATAACTATTTTTGTTATTAGTTGGTATAGAGATATTAAATTTTTTGAACAAATTAACCAATAGATATTGTTTTCAATTGTCTGGATATATATGTTGCATATTGGTTTGTATATTTTTTTAGGTATTAGTAATATAAATTAAGCAGTATTGGTAGCTCATCTAATAGAAATTTAATTTTAAAGTTTTTTTTTAGTGATAGTTTTGGGTATTTATTTTTTATTTTATTTTTTTTAATATATTAGCAGCCTTGCTGATATCTTTATTAGATTAAAGTATATGCACAAGGTATACTAAAACTATCTAAGTTACAGATCTGACATCACCTTGCTACCCCTAGAGGTGCCTAAGTGCGGTCTGCTATACTGGTTAAGACAATTGCCTATACTGAAGGACTATACTAGCTAGTCTAAGAAACTATTACAAGACAGTTTTGAAACAAAGGAATTTTTAGCTAAATTAAATTGACAATTTTTCTTTTCTAAATTATCCTCCTTTTTAAAACAACAATCAAATCTAATTTTTTAATCATAAACAACAAAATTTCCTCTTTCAATACAGGGTTATTGCCAAGATTCTTTCATTTGTATTTGTATTTCTTTTTTCTTTTTTTTCAATTTAACTTGTCTTTTTTAATTAAAAACCCAGTGCTTAAAAGTCTTTTTATATCCTTTACAATAAACTTTTCTTCTTATCTTGTAGCTTTACCTCTTCTTTCTTCTTCTTGAGGACTTGTTTTATGAGTTTTTTTAGGAATATTCTTCTGTACATTCTCTTTTTCTCTGAGTATCTTGAGACCTCTTTGGTTTCTTCCTTTCAAAATCTTGGCCAAACTGCTTGAGTTCCTCTTCTTCTGTATTCTGGATATAAAATTCTTTTTCTTTCCTTTTCTTGGTCTTTTTTCTCTTTTCCTTCTATTTTTCTTTCTAGGACTTGGTCTTTTTCCAAGAAATTTTCTTGTATTTTGTTAAAGATCTCCTGATTTCTAAGATATTCTATAAAAATCTTTTCTAATATCTCTAGTAACATATCCTTTTTTTTTCTTTTCCAATTTTTAACACCTTTGGTTTAGGTGCTAATATGTATTTGTATTCAAGTTCTATTGGGACTTTAACCCATATGTCTATTTTGCAAGCAAGTCTTTCTTCTTCTTTTTCTACATTTTACTATTATACTATGAATCTTTAATGCTTATTTGGTATAATACTTCTTTATCTATTCTTCTAGAGTTGTTAATATAACTTTTGGTCTTGATTTTTTTTGAATCTTGTTTAGCATCTTTGCTTCTGTGAGACTAGAAATATCGTGTCCCTTGTTCTTTTCTTGTTTTTCTTTTCTGATTTTCTTTTCCTTTCTTTTCTGGCATGCTAAGATAAATTCAACAGATACTTTAAAATATATTACTAGAGTTTTTAATTCTGAATCATTATGCTGTTTTTGCTGGATCTTTCTTTATTCTTGAAGTCTCTTGCTTCAATCTAAATTCAATTTTGATTTTATTTTAGTAGCTTGTTTTTTTCTCTTGTCAAACTTGTATTTTTTTTTTCTCTTTTAATTTTCTTTTGGTTTTTTGTTGGTTTGTTAAAAAAGTCTTGATAGATTCTTTGATTTGATATACTGTCAACTTTAGGGCTATTTTGCTGTGCTGTCTTTATTAGCTTTTTTTTTGTTCTTGAAGTCTTTTACTCTAACCTGCTTCAAGCTTTAACTTTAATTCAGCATGTTGTTTTTTCTTTTCCTCTAGTATTCTTTAAGCTCTATCAGCTAATCTTAATTCTACTATGTAACCAACTATTTCTTCTATTATAATACAATGAGCTAGATCTTCCCATTTTTGTATTGCTTCATGAAAAGTCTCCTGTTCTCTTTCTATAAGTGCAAGTTCTGTATACTCTAGTTTTCCTATGTTATGTACTATAATTCTTTGTAAAGCTCAACTATTTGCTCTTTAGCTATTTCTTTTGGTATAAGTTCTTGCTTAGCATATTTTGCCATTATTTCTTCTACTTGTGTATTTATTGTTTTACCAGTTATTGCTATTTTTAAGCTTTGGATATCTGCTATTATTTCTTTTATACCTTCTGATATGTCAGAGTTAATATAATCTTGTCTGTACATTTCTATATTTTTGCGTAATTCTCTTAATTTCATCTTTACTAATTCTGCTAAGACAGGTTTTTTTCAGAGCCTTCTGTTG